GTGTGAGGTGTGGGGTGTGGAGTTTGGGATGGTGGGACGTGGGGGAGTGGGGTGTGGGGAGTGGGATATGGGGAGTGGGATGTGGGGCAGTGCACGGGGCTGTTGCAGGAATGGCCTGTGCCGCTGTGCTTGGTGCTGGCACTGCTCCGGCGGGTTAGTGGTGCACAGGTTCAGGCAGCTGCATAGATGGGGGTAGAGTGGTTTGCAATTCAGAGAGTGAGGAGGCGGCTGTGTGGTGTCACTTATGGCCATGGGGTAAAACATCCAGCCTGGAAGTTGCTCTTGGTTGTCTGAGAATCCAAGCAGAGGTGCAGGGGTGTGTAGCCAGGGTTGAAGCAGCTGCCATCTGCGTGGAACGGTCGCACAGCTTCAGTGGCGTCACTGGACCCAGGACCATGCCTCTTCACGTGGTGCGTGGAGGAAAAAGTCCAGAAAGAGAAACATGAATTTCAATAAGTGAGAAGCCTGAGCCATTCCCAGCAAAGACACCTTGTAAAAGTGAGACGTGCTAGAGATCCCACAATGGAAAGCAACTCAGTTCCCTGATGGCGGACAGCAGTGTAGAACCTCACTGTACAGGTGCTGGTGAATCAGGCCTGTTCATAGGAGCTGCCACACAGTCAATGCTGAAAATGTAGTTGGCATCAGCACGGTGGATTCTTGCACTGCTGTATCCATGTCACCTCTAACCTGCCCGTTCTCTTCCTGGTGCTTCCTGGAGGTGCAAAACACTTTGTTGCACAACAACTGTTCGTAACTCTCTGCTCAGCACATACATTCCCACTGAAAGCCTCAGTTCAGGATTCATTTATATCCCCATCACTTTACACGTCTTCTGCTGTATCACAACGCTCTGCATTTGGTTTCTTCTCATACGCAGAAAACACTCTCAGCCATGTCAGATGGTCCCTGTTAGGAAGACTGCTGACAGCCCTGTGGTGTCCAGACCGCTCTGGGAGGATCTCATCTGCGAGGGCTACATGAGAGACCTCTCGGGGACAGAATACCATTTTGGACATCCTGGTTGGGGCAAGGCTTACACTAAGGGCTTTTAGGCAAGACAAGTTTTACTCAGAGGAGCAAGAACACCGCTGAGGGAGAGGAATGGAGCGCCTGGCCTCCTTCAGTAGTAAGTACCATAAGATGACATTTGGAGAGTGTTTGACATTGTTTAAAGACATTAGCAGCCATCTGGGGGAGAGAGACAGAAAACTAGCAATATTTGGTCCACAGGGTCACTTTGATCAAATTCTCAAGAGCATGAGTACATGAATGATTCAGTGGGAATTTGAGTCTTTTTTTCCTATCTACTTTTTATAGTTAGGCTAGTTCAAATGCATTTTCTTGGAAAAAACGTGGCTTATAACTTGACAATCTGTTTATTTTGACTACTTTGCAATGAACAAAATAAGAACAACTTGCAGAGCAGTGTTTCATTCCTTGTTCAGCAATCTGAGCAGAGTCTGAGGTTTGGACAAGCTACAGAACAATTTTATTGATGCCTTTGCAACCACAGCAATATGTTTTACGAGTCAGGCTTCAGGTAGATGGATGGGAGACTGCAGCTGTCTGTGCAGTATTCTTTGCAAATCAGGTCTTGCTCGGGTTTAGTCTTCAATGCAAAAAGATCAGTACGGGCACTGGATCGAATCAGCCAGCTAGAGCATCTCCTGGCATCGCTGCTGAGTTGTACCAGGAGGCTGCTACAGAGAAGATTTTCCTTTGACTCTGTTGCACAAGTTTAGATTTAGCCCTCAGTGTATCAGGTCTAGCTGAATAAGGAACTTTTAACGGATATTTGGAGAAGATGCAGTAGGAAAGAGGTTACATACCATTGAGTTCACTTAAAATTACTGGGCATAAGTGAATTTAGGTGATTACAAAACCAGTGCCTTGTTTGTGTTGCATGAGATTTACTTTTGGCTTCACAGATGACCCTTTTGATAAGCCTCCATGCCGCGGTTGCTCTTCGTACCTCACGGAGCCCTACGTTAAGTGTGCTGAGTGTGGGCCTCCTCCCTTCCTCCTGTGTTTGCAGGTGAGTGCAAGGATAAAGCATAGGCATTAATTTCTTTGAGAAAATCATCAAAGGCCTGTCCGGTGCCAAGCTTTCCATAAACACATTAATAACTGGTCTCTGTAAACTTGTATCAACACACTTATTTGCTCAGGAACAGGGAAATGACAAAGAAAATGTTGGAGACTGAAGAACTGAGGCATGAGCAGCTGAAGGAGATCTTTGTGAAGGCAGCCAAAGCTACCTAAAGGCATGCAGTCAGCCTGACTGTGTAACGGAGCATGCCGCTGCATGTCTAGAGAGGCATCGTTTCTGTCGGGTTTTATGGCATGGAAAAGAAAAGCCATCAAGAAACACCCTGTCCCCACACATTTTTTTCCTCTCCCAAATGGAAAAGGAAATTTGGGGAAAATTTGCAATATTGACAATAATTGTTTGTGACCAGATACAGTTCTTTAAAAATTATGTGTGTGATCTGATAACCACAGAAAGTACTGCTAGTTTTAATTATTAAATAAATAAGTTTGCATCATTTATGATTTAAAATGGCAATAACCTCTGAAACTGAAAAAGGAGCCTAGCATTGTGCTCAGATACATACAAAATACACAAAACCATATTTTGTATATTGGATATATTTTTGTTCATTTACCTGTACTTAAAAAACCAGAAATTTAACTGTTTAAAATAGCTGCAAACCATGCTGGTGCTTTTTAAACGGAGAGCCAAGATTAAAGAGAAACTGTGTTTTCAATACTTACAAAATGCTCTGCGGTCTCTTCCTGAAACGATCCACTTTAAAACATACCACCAAGCTTCTTCCACTTGCCTAACTTTGCCATAAATACTTAACAAAAAAGTATGTTGATTCACAGGAGTTATGTCTTGGTGCAAAAGACAAGTAAGATACAAAGACGAATTTAACACAATTTTAACATAGATTTTTCTACCGTTTTGTGTTTTTTCTAAAATGAAATCAGAAAAATTGAATATGTTTTTCAGTGTATCAGGTGATCAGTTTTGGATACCCAGTGGTCAGAGAATAAAAGGAAAAATGGACCAGTTAAAATGTTTTCAGGGCAGAAGTAAGAGACTAATGTAATGCTAATCTTTTGTTCTACAGTGTTTCACACGAGGATTTGAATACAAGAAACATCAAAGTGATCACACTTATGAGATAATGGTAAATATTCCTTTCAGAAAACACCTACTCAATCTTGAGCTTTCATAACTTCCCATGAGTTAGGCCCTTGCTTACTAATATTACATTGAAAAATTAGGTGATACAATTCTTTGATTCCGAGGTTTAGAACTATTTAAAAAAGAAAAAGCCTTCCTTGAGAGCAAAGAAAAATATCCACCTGGAACATAATGGAAGAGTGGAAACATTTAAAGCTACATTTTTTTATTGTGCCTAGATAGCACAATGCATCTCACTAGACTTCCAATTCTTTAACCAAGTGAATCAACTTCTATATCTCTATTCCTGTTTTTTCTTCCCCAAAATTAATCATTTTAAAAGTCTTCAGTAATTTTTATTGTGTTTCATAACATGACACCGTATGACATTGTTGAATTATAGCTGGTAGATACAAGATGTAACAGTATATTCAGAAGATCTGTAGTGACAAACTAGTTTTTACTGTAGTTGATGACCCAATGGCCTAAATAATTCAACGATTATTTGATCAGGTTTCATGGGACACAGTAAAAGTTTAAAGCTGCCAGTATAATATACTGTGTTGCCCTGTAATTTAGAACTCCTTTGCTCTTCATGTGGTGGATTATTACAGAGGATCACAGCAGTTTGATTTGCTTTTTCTTCTCTAGACTTCCGATTTCCCTGTCTTGGATCCTAACTGGACAGCTCAAGAGGAAATGGCACTCCTAGAAGCAGTGATGGACTGTGGATTTGGAAACTGGTGAGAATTTAGTGGTTCAGCCAACTTCAGTGACTGATAGGTGGTTTTTCATTTCACTGGACCTTTACTGTTGAATACATCAGTGCACACTGAATGTTCAATGACTTATTGTGAGTGAGACACTAATGTAGCAGCTAAAGTAGAAGACTGGGGTAGCAGATTCTGTTTTCAAATCTGCTGTTAGCTATACAAGGAAATAGTTAAAGGTTTCTTGTGAGATGCAGAGCACCTCCAGTGAAGTACACAGTTCCCTCAGTTCGCATTAAAGTCTCTAGGTTTTGAAGGAACTCAACTGTTGCATAAGATTCTCTATCCCTCAGTGTAGTCCGATGTAAAAACCAACTACAGAATTTCTTATCTTGTGCTGTTTTGGTTTGCTTACAGTTGACTAGCTAGCTATTGTTATTTTTGGAGGTTTCCAGTTTCTCTGTCATATTTAGGATAGAGCACTGGAAATATTTAATATTTTTACATTATGTTCTGTTAAGTTAATTTCTGTAGTTGCTACAGGATTTTTGTGCATTTGTAAATAAAGGAGATCTGTAATCGTGAGTTATCTCTCTTCTCCTTAATGAAAAAATAACTGTATTAGAAGCATAGAACTCCAGACTTCACTGAAACAGAACTGTGAGTTCTTATGTGTACATCGCTGTCATAATTAAGACTGGAAACAGGTTGCAGTTATGTTCTGCAAGAATGCTGCCTAGTACACTTTGCCCTACTTAGCAATACAAGTAATCTCAACTTTCTCCTTAAACACTTGACTTTTTTCAGCCTTTACCAAACAAAGGAAAAACTAACTTTTCTTCCTGGAATTTCTTGCATCCAGTTTTTAGTTTAACAGAAATTAAAATGATTGCTGCTGGTGGATTTTTTTTAAGTCCTCAATTTACACAGCAATTTTATTAAGACAATACTTCATGTTTCTAGTTAACCACTTTTCCAACAAAGTTTGGCAAAGATTTCTAGAATGTATTTTGTACAACCATTTCGGTGTTTAAAAAAAAGCCTATTTAACATTGCTACACAAAAGGGGAAACCACGATCCAGTTAAAATTGCAAGAGAAACTTGAGAAGCAGAATGCAATTCTGGACTAAGAATTTACCATTACCTGGAGTTAGTAAAGTGTATAAAAAGCTCTCAAATAACAAATACTAAATTTTCAAACATATAAAAGATTTGGTACATTCCATCAGCGAGAGAGTTTCTCATGTAAACACAGTGAATTGTATTGCTCATGACCACTGAAAAAGTGCTCCCTAGCACTGTCTCAAACGTGTAGGTATTCGCTTAGTGTTAGTACACAAAATGTGAATTCAGCCATCATCACAGATCAGTTCTCTGCACACAATGCAATCAACCTCTCATCCAAAACTATCTTTCCCCACTAGAGAAAGAAAAAAACCCTCAACATTTCTGTGTTCTTCATATTAAGCTTCCCCCTCTCCCCGCTTCAGGCAGGACGTAGCCAACCAGATGTGTACAAAATCCAAGGAGGAGTGTGAGAAACATTATATGAAACACTTTATCAACAACCCCTTGTTTGCATCTACATTACTGAACCTGAAGCAGGCAGAGGAGGCACAGCACAACAAAACAGCCATTCCTTTCCACCGTGAGTATCCCCTGCCCACTAGCACACACGGGGACCTTCTGCGCAAGGTCTCTGCTCTGCCAAAACTGGAATGAGCAGCCTTTGGAGAAAGGCGTGCACCACACGCGCAGTTTGCTTTCATTCCCAAAAAGAGAGCTTGTTCTGATGGCTAACTTGAATAATTGTAGTAGTAGGGTTTTCTTCACACTGTATTAAATCATTGGTGTATCAAATAGATGAGATGGCCGGTTCAGTGGGCAAAGGGAGGGAACAGAGTGGTCTGGTAAAGGCATCAGGTTCTGAAAACCAGAAGTTCCTGCACAGCCAGTGGTCACTCGCAGACATCACCATAGCAAAAGCCTACATGTGTGTATTCATTTAAAGGACACACTACCTCAAAGCTACTTCACATGTGGCACGATATAACAGCACGTCCTTCATGGTAAATACTACTGCAAGTTCCCACCCTGACACTGGGGTGGTTACTGTTTGTGTCCAGACTCTGCGTTAACTGAGAAGGGTTTCTACCTCTAAAACATTGCATCTGATTATCCACTGTGTAGCAGGCCTAACTGCTGATGGGATTTGTCATAAACTCACTCTCTTTAAACTATGCTGATTTCACACCTCTCTCTTTAAAAGTGCCTTTTAAAAAGTATATGCTAAATGTCAGCAATTTAACAAATTTTCAATTTTCCTTAAATTTAACATCTTCAGAATTCCCCCAGTTTCACAGATGTTCCATTTAAAGCTCCCCAAAATAGCTGGGTACAAAGATTGCTTGGTATCTGGCGGTTTAAATTTCACAATAAAGTGGTTAGAGCTAAAGCAGTAGGAACTGGACAATTTTGGTTCTGTCCCTGGCTGTCATTGATTTTTTTATGTGACCTGAGCCAAGACAAATTCTCTGTGCCTCAGGTTTCTTTATCTGTAGCATGAGACTTATAATGCTTAGCTCCTTCACAAGTGTGTTGTGAGCCTCAGTCCATTATTGTCTGTAAAACACTGAGCTCCTCAGTTGGGAAGCACTGTAAAAATTCAGAGTTGTATAGCTTTAATTGCAGCTCTCTATAAATGGCACCCAGAAGATGGCAGATTTAACACCCCTGTTGCTATTAACTAAAAGAACCTGCACGCTGACACCAAGAGATCTGCAGAGGTTTACCAGAGGGATGCTGAGTTCTGAAATGTAGAGTTTACATTTTATAACCCATTTATTACCTTGAATCTCTGTGTTTGACTTTTGAGAATACTATGAAGATCTCAGATTACTGCATTTTTCTCCAAATGAACTTGGTCTTTTTCTGAATATAACACCAAATAAAAGCCCAATCAGGGTGGTTTTATTCAACCAATTATTCCCACTTTTCCTGCAAAAGAAACACCTATTTACAGATTGGTTTGTGCTAAAAAAGGCCCCAAGCCCTACACAACAACTAAAACCCTTTATTTTTTCAGCTGCTGATGATCCCCCACGGCCTACTTTTGATTCCTTGCTCTCCAGGGACATGGCTGGGTATATGCCAGCCAGAGCTGACTTTGTTGAGGTAAGACCCTCTCCCGTTATTTTAAATTTGCTGCTGAATGCAAGAACAGCAAATGCACACTTGTTTGCCCCTGCCTTTAGATCCTTATTCTTCCTATAGAAAGCATTAAAAGAGAGGAGAGGACAGAGTGATTAATCCAAGGATTTAATTACAGAGGTGGCGCTGCAGGCTGTGAAGCTGCTAGCAGGCTATCTGTGAGTCACTGCCTCTGTGTAGGGGCTGTAAGGCATGCTGCTACCACCAGATGTCCAGTGAGGAATGGCTCTTACGTAAGCGGACTAGATATTGTGAATTGGATGCTTAGCAAAAGGGGTCAGCTTCAGCATGCTTCCCTCTCATTTGCCTTAGATAAGCACATATGAGCCTGATCCAAAGATCACTTGAAGGACCTGCATTGTTTTCAGTGGTTTTAGCTGCTGGCCCAGGGCCCCAGTTCCTGTTGCAAAACAAGCTCCTGTACATGAAGTGATGAATTCAGCCGTATAGGGGCTTGTTGGTTTTGTACGTTTGAGCAGAATTCCCCCAGCAGTGTGGGACTCATGGAGATTACCTGATTAATTCCCATTATCCTATCACAGCATCCTGTTCCAGTTACAGCCACGGGGGTACATATTACACATTCCCTGGTTAAAGCTCCCCTGTGATGTACATTGCTCAAGGATGGAACCTTGTACAACTGTGTATGAGTAAATATCTCTGTTTTCAGTACTTCTATGTGTACTGAAACTTGATACCGATTTTTTAGTGCTAGTTATTGACAATTTATTAATCACCTCTGAACAGGAGTTTGACAACTATGCTGAATGGGATTTGAGAGATATTGATTTTGTAGAAGATGATTCAGACATTTTGCATGGTAAGTCCCATATTTTCCTACACTGTCTGAAAACAATGTTTCAGAGTGCCTGCACAACATTTCATTGGGTCTGTTTTTCTCTACACACTTTTTAAAAAGTAAACATACATTTTTAATGATCTCACTTCTGTGCACTGGGGTTTAAACACTGGCATTTCTATGGTCCTCACTTTCAAAGCTCTTTTAAAAGCTCTTAATCAACTTACATATAGAATAACGCACTTCACTCACTACTGAAATGTAGCCAGTCGTCAAGTAGAACATGACTGAAATCACAAAAAGCTCTTAATCAACTTACATATAGAATAATGCACTTCACTCACTACTGAAATGTAGCCAGTTGTCAAGTAGAACATGACTGAAATCACATAGTCTCCACCAGTAGTAAGCATCTCTTTAGGAAAGACACAAATGATATTTTATCCAGTATAAACTGTAGAGGAAGGTTAGCTAGGTAGAAGCAAATTATCTGAGCTAGCAGTTTGTCTGGAAACAGGTGGCAGCACATCAGTGTTTGAATAAGCAGACCTACAGGCCTGTTAAAAAACAGAGACATCAATGCCTTGATGTTACTTCCCCTCCCCTGCTGAAAGATAGTCTTTTCACCTACATAATGTTTGTGAGCATCATAGCAAGGCACAGCTTTTGTTCTGATTCAGAAAAAGGAACACTTTCTTCTCTTTGCTAATACCCCTTTCCCCTGCTATATCTAGTTTGCTAAAAGATCTGTCACTTATTCTAACCTGTGTTAGGTTAGGAAATCTGATATCAGAATAGGTGGGTACAGGCAGCAAGGAGGTATGTAGTTGAAGACTATGCACAACACATTGAAACTGTTCTGCTTTTGGAGTTGTGTGGTCTTTCATGCGTTAAACATGCACATTGAGTTATAGCTGTGTTAGCTGTACGTGACAACTTTTTTCTTGTGAAGGGGATGGTTGTTGTATTACTGCTACTGAGTTTCTGTGGACATTGCTGTCTTAATAATATCAAATAACAGGAATTATTAAAATGAAGTTTTAATCCATAGAAAAGAAAAGGTCATATGTTTCCCCACATTTATAAGTACATATGGTGTTTAAAAGTACTGTGTTCATGCTTCAGAATTCTCCCATCTACATCAGGCAGTTCTAAGCTAAAGCCTTAGCATCCTTTGGAGACAGACAAGTCCTTTTATGTACAGTCTTTCCCAACTTAAGAAACCAGTTTGAAATTTAGCAGTGTACACAGAGTTTTAAGGAATGCAAACTCCCTTGGCTCACAAAAGGTTATGAGAATCATGTCAGTCTCCCTTCCCTTTTAACATTTATTGAAAGAGGGACTGGCTTATGGACATGTCACGGATTCCTTATGCCATCTCTCTGCTGTTTCTTTTTATTACTAATAAAAGATGTATTTTCTTGCTTCCATGTCCTATACTGATTCCTGGTAAACTGAAAATGCAAAATAATCTCCTAGTTCTGTTCTTTAGTTGACAGCTTAATATTCATTCAAGCTGCTTTACGAGCACTGCCTTCCATACCCCTCACATGCCTTCCACTGCGCAGTTCAGCCATTTAAGGTATCTCCTACCAGCCTCCTGTTTAAGTTGTCAGTCTGAATGCAAAATTCAGCTTTACTCATCTCTTCAGAACATCATAAAGCTATGCAGGGCCAGACCCTTTGGTCCAGCTAGCTCAGTGGGGTACTAAACCCATAGCAAATGCACAGGAGAAGAATATAAGAAAAGGCAAATATAAGCTGATACTTTTTTCTGGCATATCTTCCATGTCTCCTGCAGTGGTTAGATAAGTTTAGAGACTTCTTGAGACATAGGTTGTGTTCAGACCATTTTGACCAAAGGACCTGCCCTCCATGAACTTAGCTAACTACTGTTAGAACTATATATATTTGTACTTTTGCCCCCATAACATCCTGTAGCAGTGAGTTCCACAATTGAGTTAGGAGTTTTACAATTTAATTATGTGTTGTGTAAAAAAATACTTCCTTCTGTCTGTCAAATCTTTTGCCTGATAATTTCATTGGATGTTCTCTAGTCCATTCTTCAGTTGTCTTCAGTATTTAGTATAGGATGTCAGGCATTTGCCCTCTGAAAACTGTTTGCAAGAGGTTATGGAGCGTGACCAACTACATTTTCAATCTCTTAGCTCAGGAACTCTGGCAGCTTCCTTCCCACAGCTGTCCTAGATCTGCCCACATGAGAGAGAATGCCTCTAAAAAATGAAGTCCCAGGGTCTCACCAGCTGTTTTTCTTTTACATGAGACATCTTGGGGAGAGAAGGAATTATTTTCTAAAAGAAATTTTGGAATTCAATCTTTCCATTCTCCAAGCTAATAGAGAAAAGGAAGGAGCCACATCCTCCCTGTCCTGCAGTTTTAAAGGTCTCAGATGCTGACTTTGCTTGATTGCTTGAAAATATTTTGCAACCTAATTGTAGGATTGCACACTGTAGAAAATGGCTTAACATTTGGATCTGAAAGCAGGGACAGGCATTTGGCTGATCTGAGAAACCTCTGTACTTTCTAGTTAGCAGGCAGAGAGGTTGTAGGCAGCCCTGGCAGCCCAGGTTCTTGAAATCCCTCCCAAGGGTGCCTGTCCCACTACTTCCAGGCAGCGGCTCTAACGTGCCTCCCTACCCCAGCCCTGCCCGCTGGCAAACTTCTTGTGCTAGATCTTACAGAAACGTCCTTGAAAAGCAGCCCTGTGGCTGTCTTCCGCACCTGCTCGAGACACATTTTTGCTGGCCAAACAGCAAACTTTTTTTTTTTTTTTTAAAAAGGTAAAGATGTAAAACAGGGTTTTAACACGTTTTATAGCCCAGAGAAACCCAAATGGGGTCTTGCAGCATAGATTAAGTATTGGGTTTGTTTAAAAAATCCTCAGTTTGTTTTCCTGCCATACATTAAACCTTACTAGGTTCAAGATTAATTTTTGAAAACTACTTTTATCTTCCATTTTCTGCAAGTTACTCAAGCTAGACCCTGAGAACACACCAACGAGAAGAATTTCTATGGTCTATCTCCCTTTCTTTTGTTTCACAAGTCACAGGTCAGTGCTGCAGTGTCTAGGTTGCACATTACACAGGAATATTTGATGCTGTCATTGGAACGGAATTCCCCCTCTTCCCTTTCCTCCACATCACTCTGCTTTTCTTGAAATTTTGTAAAAATCATTTTATAAAAAATTCTAGATCTAAGCTACTTGACCTGTGTTTCCTGATATCATTGCATTTTCCCTGTTGTATTTTCCTGTGCCACTCTAAACAAGTTCTCAGTATTTTCCCAAGAAAGAATGCAATTGAATACAAGGTGGAAAGACTCCCAGGCAGCTTTTTATGGGGAACACAGAAACCTGTACTGACTCACCAGTTGCTCCCACCACACAGGAGGTCACAGGCACTGTTTAGGCACTTCTTGATGTTACTGAGATGGTAGAAATTGTATGAAATCTCTCATATTTCAATTCACTTACCGAACTGTTAACTTTTATTCAGTACTGGCAAATATAATAACTGGATGCAAATATGTATTGCAGTTAAACAAAAACATGGACAGATCAAAAGAAACAACTAGTTACAAATCTAATTCAGCCCAGAGTGCTTGAATATTTCATGAATTACAAGTTTTCATCAGACTGAATTGTAGCATTAGTAATTTATATTTTTCCAGGCTTTTTCTCCCCTTTACTTCTTGTGTAAATGATTTTTACTTCTAACACTGGAAAGTAATTGCTGAAACTGCAAGTTAGAAGTGAGTGGAAATAGACTGCAACTCTGGATGTACAGTAGTGAAATTTCATTTTATAAGATACAAGGCAGTCAGTGTCCTTCTGAATATTACATGATGATTATTCTTTTGGGGAAGTTCCTGACATGCTCTGAAGGCAGATAACTCTGTTTTCCTAGGGTCCTGCTTTCCTCCAGGGAGGCTGAATTTGGATTGTAGCTATTAAGTTTGTACCAAGCAAGGCGCACACTGGCTACACGGCCTGTTTACTTTGATTAGTTTGTATTCTTCCCATTATTTGGGTCTTGCATGCCAAACAGAGGTTAGCTAGCATGAAACAAAGGTCTTACTCATTAGTGTTCAAAAAAGTTTTTGTAGACCAAATGAGGCTGAAGAGGAATGAAAAGCAAAGAAACTGTTTTGGACACACTCTTGAGAAACCAAAATATTTTGATTTTTTGGAATAGAGAAAGGAGCCTTGAATTTCTGCCTATCACTGGATCCTTCAAAGCTGCTCTCACCATCTCAAAGACCCTTATCATTTCCCAAAATGGACACTTAGAACGCAGTGTCAGCTTGGATTATCTTAAGTTACCAGTACAAACAACTGCCGCCTCAGTATAATCCATGGGGAAAAGCACAGGCAAATCATTTTCATTCGTACAGCATCTCTTTTCTCATTTCAATGCAGCGTGTAACGGTATAGTGGTCTCGATTATTCATGCATTCCAGATCTTGTAATCGGCTGTTCCTGTGTGAATATATCTATTAAAACCAAAGCCCCTCCAAAAGTGCATGTGGCAACAAATACTAATTTTTCTGTAAGCAGAAGCTCTGGGTTTTTTCCTTCTTTTATTCTCTTGAATGTTCCTTCCCCTCCCTAGTTGATCATAATTTCTTTCAGAATATTGTGCACTCAGGTGAAAGCATCAAAATGCAATGGTTATAGGTGCATAATTACTTGTGATATTTATAGAGGTTCTCCCATGCAATTTCTGCATGTACTCATTAAGTTCTGCCCACACAAACCCCAGAAAATAACACGTTAGCTTAGCTTGCAGAGGGTTTAAAAATATAAAAATATTTTCCATAAATTGGCACCAGTTACAGCACTTAGTAATGTATTTCATTCATGTTTAACTTACAGCATTTCCCAATTTCTTGTCCTCACATTTAAGCAAGAAGGAGAATTTGATACTTGGGCTTGTTCTTAAATTAGGAAACTTAAAACACCTCTTTGTGAAAATATATGATGATTCTTGAACACTCTGGTTTTGCAAGAAATTTGCAAAAAGAAGAATATTGTACCATTCCTCCTATCTTCATACGTAATCTTTTGCTCCTAGATTAACTTCACATCAGTTTTGTATCAATTGAAGATTCTTTTGCTAATACAGGATCAGCAAGTGTAACTCAAAACTGTTGGCTCCTGCGCTAATAAGCACAGCCTTGGGCTTTAGCTGTTCCTGTTTGTAAGAAATTTTATTACCCAGAGGTCTGCACAGATGAATTGCCTAGAGGCTAGGGGCTTCCTGGTGTTTACATATACATATTTTAAAATAGACACATAACCACACTTCTTAATTACATTATTAATTATTTATCGGATAGTGCAATCAATAACCTGCCTGTATCAGTTTTGCTGTTTTCTTGTAATTACAGAGAGAGGAGAGGATTCTGGATTCTGTCACACTTGGGCCACCCCTGTTTACACTGCACAGTGGTCTGATAGGGGATGTGCTCTTGCTTAGTTTCAAAGAGCTGCATGTTGTCTCTACAGACTGCAAAACCACTGTCAAGCATCTTCCTTCTGAGAGCATATTGAAATGATTAATGTAAAGGAAAAGAAGCCAACCAAGAAATCAGCCAACTCTATGCTTAATTGATGACCTAGAATTTTTGCATTATTTAACAAAATGAGGGAAGGTGATAGGTGTCTCCTTATGTTTTCTTTCAAGAATTTACGAAAAAAGATCATTAACCTAATGGTTACAGGAACAAAAAGCTGAAGGATCTCTGAGTGGATCAGCCAGACTGCAGACAGATTTGATTTTGAAAAGGATATGATTTCTAATGAGCATGGCTTTGTCCTGTGCTTCTTCACATTGTTGTGAACTATTCTCTTTGTTCTCCTGGCAGACAGATAAGTTTAGAAGTTAACAAGCTGAAATCTTGTAGATGTTTTCAAGAACTGCAGCAAAGGCTACTTTGAATCGTCACAGTTCAGAACTGTGTCTTTCTGTTTTTTGGAGTTCCTTTTCTGTGCAAAGAACCCTTTGTCCAAAGATGATACCTCAGGTCCTTAAATCTGATAAATTTGCTTTTCAGGAGAAGGAATACTTAATAAGTGCATGTATGAAGGAACAAATAAGTGCTAATAGTAAAACAGTCCAAGAAGGAAAAGAGTTCTCAAGATCTACCCAGGTCCATATGTACAGGCAGTAATGTATTTGGAAGGAGTAAGCAAAAGAAAGCCTCTACAGGTAGCATGTATAGTCTGCAGAAGGTTAGCCTCTGGTGAGTTTATGCCCCTGTAAAATTGTGGAGGGATTTTTTAAAACAGCAAAGTAGAGCGACCATTTCAGCCTACCACGAACATACAGGCTTGAACATTAGCCTAATACAGTGATTAGTTCTGTATTCTGAAATTATTTTTTATTATTATTATTTTGCAGCTCTGAAGATTGCAGTTGTAGATATCTATCACTCCAGGTTAAAGGAAAGACAAAGACGAAAAAAGTGAGTTTTCAAGCAATGACTGTATTCCTTTGCTTCATTACCACGTTTTGGTCCCCAGTGTTGTCCTAATACTAAACGTAATTGATCTCCTGTAGCACCCTTCCAGATTATTCCCAAGCATGGACACCTTCTGCTACGAGATTTTCAGGACAGGCCTCATCTGGGATGTGTGGTTCTCCTTCTGGGCACAGATTAAGATCAGGCACGTGGCTTTAGCAACAGCACCAGCCCAGAAAACACAAATGAACAGACCCTTATACTTATTTGTACACAATGTTGACAAAGGACCTCTACACACCATAACTCTCCTTTAAAGTCTCAAAACAAGTCCTTAATTGTGAAAAGCCTATTTTCCAGTCCTTTTTAGTGCATGAAAGTCACGTATGCGGTGTTGTTCACATTACTATCCCAAATCCAGTTATACATAAATAACTAAGCTTCTAGCACACCTTATGAGATCACGTAGCCATTTTGCAGAATGAGAAACTGAAATACTGTCTGGGAAACCGGTCACAGACCCAGGGCTAGGAACCAGAAAAAAGGGAACAAAAAGAAAAGAGATTTGCCTCTATGTAAAGCTGATGGACTGCACGTAATTAATTTTCTACTTTAGGGAAGAAAAAAAAAAAAAGCCACCAGTCTGTGACTAATTGCTAGACCCCCACTTCCTCCACAGAAATGTTTGCATCATTATTTTTAATTCTTAGTGGTCCATAAGTTAGTTTTCCGCATTTGTGTAATGAAGATAACTATATTGCTGACGTGAGTTTGAATAATTTATTCAATTCATTTGACAGCTTTTTAGAATGACTCAATCTATTCATTAAATTCAGTTTTATTATAACTTTCAAATACTTTGTTCAATATTTAAAATTATATCTTGCTGTATTACTCCCTGCTGGAAGAATTAGTAATTTGGAGTAAGACTCCTCTATTCCTTGTCCTCATAATACAGCATAGCTCTGCTGAATGACAGGTAAGAGTTGGTATCTATTGACCTGGTTCTTTATAATGCATAAATAAAAAATATTTGTGTGGTATAATTGCCACTATGATAAATCATGTCATACTGAAAGAAAGTGTCATCAGGCTCAGTTACATAACTCAAATTGGTGTTGGTTTTTGTAAAGTTTCTACAGCAGGATGGGACAAAAATCTGGAAGATGACATAAAAATGCTGATCTCACTCTCAGAAAGTCTTCTCTCCATGGGACAGGAATATTCTTTTATTCATGCTAAAGAAAATGTAATGGATTTTATAGAGCAAATCCCAACTTGACCTTGATGAGCCCAACTTTGTAGTATCTTATCATTTGCAAAAGTCGGGTGTTTATTGCATCACTACATAGCAATGGCCACGTGACATTTGCTGAAACCTGTGACAAACATGTGTGTCATGCACTTGTAAATATCTTACCTGCCTTTTTACACCGCTCATTTCCCTGATCCTGTCAGGAACATTTCAAACTTAGGAGTTACCTAAATCATCTTCCTCTTTTTAAAATCTGTCATGGAAAACTTCCTTCATCCTGCTCCCAGTGGTGAAATTTAAAGTCCACCTCTCACCCTTGCTCTAGTAGAAGGATGTTTCTCTCTCTCTGAAGCTGGAAATCATGCTTCATCAGACATTCCTTTACCTCCAGTTTTGGAAGGACAAGTTATAAGACACTGTAGACATGAAATGTGTGCCTAAAGAAGCAATTTCAAACCTTTAAAGCAATTGTAGCTCCCTTTGTGCTTAGTGCTGTCAGAGTTGGACTAATGCACGCCCCTGTCCCAAATTTACCATGATTAAAGCCGTGCTGCATCACTACATCATGTTTCTCAGCTAGCCAGGTCAAGGGTTATGGAAATTTCATACGTGTTTAGTTTTAGACCCCTCTGATGGTCTGCATCAAAGTTTCTTCTGAAGCCTTTGTATTTATGGGGTAATACAGGAGTTAATGCCTTTTATTAATACCATTTTGCTCTCAATTACAGAATTATAAGAGATCATGGCCTTATCAACCTCAGAAAATTTCAAAGTGAGTATCAGATGTAACTGCTTAACTTTAAAGTGGCCTCTACTTGGGAAGCAAAACTTTGCATGGTCACTGTTTCCAGTGCACCAGCTTAGTTTATTCATACTGGACCACATTCAGATGGTCTGAATTCCAGCAGCTTTCCTGCCGACTGTTTCCAACTGGCTGGCTCTAGCTACTCCCAGCTCAGTGTTGTAGTTATTGCCTTGGAATTGCTCTTCAGAAGCATTTCAGTCTCCACCGAGTAGGGAGAGGGGTGAAGGTGAAATCTAGGCCTTTTAAGTGCATCTCACTATTCTAAGAAATGATCAAACAACATTTAAATATCATCCTTTATGCTTTTAGAATTGTAAGGACTGTATAATTTTGTTGCTTTTTACTCAGCAATTTGTATTTGAGACACCAAAATTGCCAGGAAGTGAACCAAATATGGATCTTTGAGCAGTTCACAGGGGCTGATAGTCACTTCAGGTTCCACTGAATTTATTTTCTTCTCACAGTAGGAGTGATAAGGTTATCACTTTCCCCCCCCCTCTAGTTTTGGAAAGGCGATATCCAAAGGAGGTTCAAGACCTTTATGAAACAATGCGACGATTTGCACGAATTCTTGGACCAGTAGAGCATGATAAGTTCATTGAAAGCCATGCGCGTAAGTATTTTGAGGATTTTAGCATGTATGTTCTTCAATAGGCATAATGAGGGGTTGCACCACCTACAATCTTTCTTAAATGTATACCTCTCCTGGAGGGCAGGAGGTTGTTTTTCTCCTCATCCGCCATCTAACTACCTCAGAAAAACAAATACATTTGTGGTTTGATACATTAAATGAGCAGCAAGTGGTTTTTTTCCCACTAAACTGTGTCTGAGTTCTTTGTTTGATTTCTCAGTCGACTGAACATTCTGGTCATGTGTTAGAAGTAGTATTTTCTGATGAAAAGACTGCTGTTCGTTTACTGGGAGTCTGTATCACTGAAAGAACAAAATCCCTAAAATTTATGTCTGTATTGAGAGATTGGGAGTCAGCAGCGAATTGTGAATTCTTTGAAAGATACATGTTAAACTATTATATGTGTACATAATTATATAGTGCAGCTGTCATTATGTCCCTTACCTTAAAGGGAGAGGCATTGTTCCATCACCGAATCATCTCGAGTCTTTATGCATAATCATAGCATGCATTTAGTCAAATTCCAGTACGAGTCATTACATCCTGCTTAATTCTGTGACTTAAACTGGGAAAATTGTTGCTCATTAGAAAGAACAAAGCATTTAAATAGTTGCGACTGTATTTTCAGGACACCCTATGTGAAATACCAAAAGTATGAACCTACAAAATCATGAGTCCCACATATGAGTGCTAGTCCTGGAACCTAGTTTCGTTGTTGTAGTGACAGCGAAGTCCTCAAGTTAACCTGACAGTCAAGTACAGGTATTATATGCATCTCCTGAGTAGTATGAGTAAACAAATTCGAGACAAGCAAACTTGCTCACTGTAAAACTAAGCAAGCCTGGAAGCCAGCTGATAAAAGCTATAGGCAGTAAATATCTCTGAGCAAAAGAAACATGGGTATTTAATCTTACTGACTGCAGAGAAAGAGTCGTCTGCAAGGAAAAATTTTGGAAGGTCCAGTTATGAAAATCGTAGTTCAAACACAGTATTAGATGCTATGAGGAGCCTGGATGGAGTAGTTTTTCAAAACTATTGAAATGCCTTCCAGAAGTCCTTCATTATTGTTATTTGCCTTGTCCAGGGTATGGCAAAGGAACTGTCAAAGCATGAAGATAAAATAACTGTGATCAAGGAGTGTTAGGACACAGCGAGTTTGAGATCTGACACAGACTTGTGCAGAGGTTAACCCTGTCTGTGGTGCACTTCATAACTGAACTGTATAGACACATAAGAAATTGCAACGTAGCCCACAGTTCACTGCCACCCCCACTGACCCGCATTTATTTTCTGGATTTCCCTTCTGCTTACCGTTGGGGTAAAACAGTGGAGTTTGAGCTGCGAAGGGAAATAAAGCGACTATAGGAATCACCAATTTCTGTAGTAAGTACCTGATGCATTATCCAGCCCATTCCCATTCATCAAGGTGAGGAAGGATGATTTTACAACATTTAGGATGTGCTGAATAAAAAGACACTTATTTTTTAAATGCATTTGCCTAGCTCTTTAACTGAACAAGGCTTTAGCAATAATGCTTCAGTCCAGCTGTGCTTTTTTAAAGCTAGTTTGAGCCACCAGCTTGGAGAACGCACTGTCTAGCAGACCTCTGCTTTAGTCACCAGTGTGCAAAAGATTCAGAACAAAAATACGTATGTCATGGCACAGTGGTCACCAGTGCTTTATCTCTGGACACTTTCACTGGCTATCAACCAGTGTGATATCTGGAGAGAGGTCCAAGACCTCTACATGAACGAAATGGCCTATTTTATCCTGGAATTGGATCACGGAAACCTTTTTTGTTTGTTTTTGGCCTGAAATTAATGGGGGGGAGGGGTGCAGGGTGGAATTTAATACCTTCTGATGCCAAGTAGTTGTCATGAGGGAGAATAGCAGAGTCTGGGCCAGAGCTAGAGAACAGTTTCTCAGTTATTTCCTAAAGCAGAAAAATAACAGGCTGAAAATTTTGACCAAGGCAGCTGGTGAGAATGTGGTGTCTGTTCGCCATAGGTGCCAGGACATACGATCACCTTAAGAAGACAAGAGATGAGGAACGCCTAAAGCGCACTATGCTCTCCGAAGTCCTGCAGTACATCCAGGACAGCAGTGCCTGCCAGCAGTGGCTCAGCCGACAAGCTGATATGTACGGTTACAGTAAGACTCTGCGTTTTACATACCTATGCTTTAGTCAGAAGGGTGCATCAAACACATTTTTCTGTCTGGTAACAAATGCATTCCCAATTTATTACAGTTGGAACAGTCTGCAAAATTCAGAAGGACAAGAAACTGTGGGTAACAGCAATAGTGCTTGTTGAAGTGCAGATGAGGGAGGGACTAGTAAGAGCTCAAAATCTCAGTATTTTGTATGTCAGGAACTTAACTGCTGTTAATGAAGTCATGGAGGGAAATGAGGTCTTTATGGATATTAATGAGGGCACAGATGACACTTGAAATGTTTCAGATGATTTTAGATGCGGCAGCATTATTAATGTGTAGCCACCCTGCACAAGCACTTTGATTTAAGGAGCAAGCTGCAATGCAAAGGAAATGCATCCTGTACGCTACGTGGTCTGAGAAGATGATTTGGAATTTCCCAGTCAGTCTCCACTGAATTCTTTATTCAGTGACACCCCTCCCATTCCCCCCTTTTTTTTTTTTTTTAAACTGGTTTCAGACATGGTCTTTAATCTGGGAGTGCTAAATATTTAGAAATCCTGCTGACTTCAGATTACGGCCTGATTTACGCAAGTTGAATTGTATAATTATTAGAAGTTGGGGGAAAAGTAGTTTCTGGGCCAATATATGCAGTTTTTCTTAAAAAAAACCATGAAGGCAATTTGAAAATTTCCTTTCTTTTCAGTGATTCCGGCCTGAGTCCCACGGTACCAGTCCCTTCAAATTCAGGTAACTGTTAGATGATGGTCTGTGATAAAAAGCCAGCCGTACATCAGAAATACCATTCTGACAGCCAGTTGGAGAGTGACTCTCCTGCTTCAGTGCAAAAGCGTCAGTCCTCAAGCCTCATGGTTAAGCACTGCTCAAGTCACCATTGCCTCAATCTGCAACTCATTCCACATGCAAATCCTGTAGGTTTTTTCCTGAATTTCTAGATTTTTCTGGCTACAAATGGAAAACCCGTCCTAAAGCTGTATTAACAAGTCAGGAAAGAAAAAAATTTTCACATGAGAACAAAATTTTATTGTTAAAAGATAAAGCTAATCCAGTTTTTAATGAAACTATATAGCACATACTATAGCAATATGAACCTGACAGAAAGCAGATTTGGAAGGGCACAACCCCCAAAAACAGTCACCTGAGAAGTGGGCAGTGGTTGCAGCATCCAGCACTCCAGAGTGACAGGAATGAGATGATACAGGTTGCCTATGCAACTTCACTTTTCCTTTTCTATTAATATGCTTTTATATTCTTTAATTCTGTAATCACAAATTATGGTATTTTCCACTACAAGGACCCCTGCTTCTTTCAGTGCCCAGTAAGGACAGATTCAGGGGTCAGTCAAGGCCCTCGTGAACACGACTTCTATGAAATCCCCTCTCACTTGCTGAAGTCACAGGATGGCATGCAGCGCACGAGGCTAGGATAAAGTTTTACTAAAGGCTGTTAAATGTTGCCAGGGAAAACTGGCTTCTAGCTCTGTCTCTGCATCCAGTTTTTATGTGGATGCTAATCAACCACTTGAACCAAACTTCTCGGAGGTGGACACTGAGTCTATATGTCCTTCCTCATTTCTTCCAAGAGCCCTGGAAATTTGGGTCAGAATACCAAGCAATTAGTCATTGCAGTGTGCACCATGTTTTAAACCTATTTGGTGATAGCTAAGATCTGGTATTTTGGAGCGAAAATAGCATTGTGTATCTCAGGCTGGGCATCCAGAGTCCATGAAATAGGGACAGCATCCCCTCAGCTGAAGGGCTAGTATGAAGAACAAAATTAATTTTCTGCCAAGTATTCAGTGGCCAATGAAGGAGAAGAGCCCAAGAGAACATGAATTGTTTTGCCTATGGAGCTCAGATAGCATGCAGTGTTTACAGCCAGCATCACATGTTGAACAAAACCCAAACAAAATACTATATAGTTGGTGATTAAGCAAATGTCCTGCATACTGAATAAGGCAAGGATACTGCGGAAAAGCTGCCACGTGTCTATATAATTAAAGGCTGCGTCATACTGAATATACAATGGGGCAAATTAACGTTGCTTAACTTCTAGATTTTGAGATCTTGACTTTGCGGCCAGAATATGTTTTCTTTAATGTAGTTTGTGCATGTTATTTGCTAGATCTATAAAAGAGTAAACCCAAATTCTGTCATGTCTCATCATAGCACGCTTGTTTCAGGCTGTAGAAAGAGTAAATAACTTCCTCTACACCTACTAAAGCCTCACTACTCCAGCTTCTTCCTAGTCCTCCAGTTCTCTCTGATCAGGCTCCCCCCACCCAGATCAGGCTCCCATCTGTCTCCTACGGATGCAGAGGGGAAAGAGAGAGAGAGACACCCCAGTGCCAGAGGTAGGACCTGGGCAGGGCAGGGTCTGGAGCAGCGGCCAGCACAGTCCTCGGGGAAACAGACTGTGGATTTTGCAAGATCTCATCACTTTGCCAAATTTGGGAAGTTTGTCCTGGAACAGAGACCTCTCTCTGGCAGTGCCAAATATGCAACCCACAGCACAGGGACAAGAGACTTTCTAAAAATGTAAATAAATAACCCTAGCTTTGTTCTGAGCTCTGGAAATTAAAAAAAATATATATTATTAGAAAAAAACAACCTGCACGCAGGCAGCCTTTGTGAAAGTTTAGGTTGCACCAGTTGAAGTTCAGCAAAGCTATAAACACTAGTGAAAGTGACAACTATGAGACTACCTTGTGACGGATATTTTTTTCAGTACTGTTTCTCATAACAGACAAAAATAAATCCACAAATTGCATTTGCTTTACAATATCTGGATCATATTTAAAGGCATTTAGAGAAAACTCTGCTTCACGAAGTTGTCAGTAACACCAGAGAAACGGGCTGCTAATCACACCAAGAAACAATCTCAGCATCCTTGCAAGGTACTGGTTTCACACCTGCGGGAGTTGGTCCCGCACACTGTGCACACCCAGGCACACCCTCCACACAGCACTGACCTCCCTGACCCTGGCTGGAAGAGTCGGCTTAGTCAGGAGGTGCAGCCCAGCTTAACGTGGTCAGCACCAATTTGACAGAAAGCTGTTGTCTTCCAGTCCCTCCTAACAGGCAGTGAGTCAGGGTTAACAGCCTCAGAGCCCTCCTGCAAGTATTCACAGCGCTCAACTACGTCAGCTGCAAAATCATACCTTTTCTCAAATCAGTGCAGTTTTTGTGTTAAGCCCTGAATAACCCTCTCTAGAAACGCTTGGATCACACTGGGTTAACATCACGAGAATTTAATTGCCTCTGTGATAACATGCCCAAGGAACAGCCACCGCCAAACTGCTCGGAGTTCTTCAGTGTTTTCCTTTCTCATCTCTGCAGGTAGACGGAGCGCCCCACCACTGAACCTGACGGGTCTCCCAGGGACAGAGAAACTTAATGAGAAGGAGAAGGAGGTGAGGAAAGGAATGGAAAGATCATCTATATAAAACTTTATCTTCACAGTGCAGGGGTGCTCACACCATCTGTCTTGGGTGCTGTGAATATCATCTCAGTTCTATGCCCTCACTGCTCTTTCCTGCTCACAAAAATCATTCAGGTTTTCCAGTTGGCTGCTTCATTTCAGTTACTGTACTATACGTACAACATAGCTGCAGCAAATTGGCTTGTGTAGCAAAGAAAGGTGGAGAGCACCAAGGTGTTATTATGTGCTATTATAACATCCAGAGTATGACATCCTCTCTTCCTCCGTTGTGAGGCTGGAGTGAGCAGAAGGGTTATTTTTTCTTAACGAACACTGGTTTTAAAACTGGCAGAGGATTTCATCAAGGGCTTTACTGGACAGATCACTGAACCTGAATAGCAGAGCTCTTTCCATGTTAGAGATACCTCACAGCCAAACCTCAACCAGTTATGGTTGCTTTTTCACTGTAACACTAATGTGAACCACGGAAACAATAACAGTATATTCTTTTCACATTTTTTCCATATTTCTGCTTTTCAGTGCATTTACCAAGCTTTTTGTATGCACATGTGGCAGAGAACGGAATCTGGCTTTGAGCCATGGGTAGTTAGCTTGGCCTGGCATTACAGTTTGCAGTCCCATCGAGAGTGCTCTTGCACAGTCTCCTAAAGCCATCGAGGCACCGGGAGGATCGACTGAGCAGACGGAAATGGGACTGCAACCCACGTGGCAACCCCCAGGAGAAGGAAACAACGCAGCAAGGGGCCTGCCGTGTATCTATGGCTCAATGTCTTCCGCGGCCCAATGTAGGCCTCTCCTCTAACTCAGTGAAAGGCAACACTGCAAAAATACTGAAATAAAGGAGATTTTTTTTTTTTTTTAGTAGAAATCATAAGCTGTCCTTAGATTGTCCACGAGGCAGGTGTCAGTGTATGTGAAATGCAGACATATTTCAGAGTTTTCCCTCTGAGGAAGCTGTTTCCCCTTCACTGGAGATGGCAGAATTGAAAATCAGATCACAGATTCACTATGGAACATGGCATTTCTGGTTCCATTCAGCATATAAATAATTGTGACTAGGACATTAGTGTACATGGGGAATCTGATTTCCTCGTCAGCTGAGACATAAAGTCTGAGTTCCTCTGTTCTATCAATGAGGAACAATCATTAAGCATTTCCATATTAAAAGGAGGAGACAGCCGGTAGCTCCATTGGGAGCAATACAGCGCGCCATCTCGAAGGCGGCTGGGATTTGGAAGCTAAGCGGGAGCGTTGCAACCTAACGGCAGAGCACAGGGGCTTTTGGAAGCCATTCCTTTTACCAAACCTTCAAACACGTAATTGCCCTCCCTGCACAGTTTCCATCCTGGACTTGCAGAGGGGGCAGGTGTTGTGGGCATAGCTGCTTTTGTAGAAGGGTATTAAAGACTTAGTCTGCAGGGGATTAATAGACAGATGCCCTCTCTGGCTCCCATCCAGCATGCTGAATTGCTGGTTGCAAGTCTCTTTGGCATGTGTACTTCCCTTGGTTTGTAAAGAACAACGCCCACACAGGACACATAGTTATGCTCCTGCCAGCCCAGAGCTTGCTTTCATCCTCCTAGTTTATTTTTTAGTCAGGAATGTTTTTGAGTGCAGCAGCCAGTGAGCTCCTCCCCTCCCTACCTGTGGATCCAAACAGCTCATAATGCATTTACTGTATGCCTCCCCCATACAAAAAAAAAACCACATTTAAAGTGTTTTCAGAAAAATATTCACAATGTTACTCCCCCAAAAGGGATCACAGAATGAAAGAGCATGACGAGTGGTAGTGTTTATTAACTTCACCTTTTGTCTTCCAGCTCTGTCAGATGGTGAGGTTGGTCCCTGGAGCCTATTTAGAATATAAAGCTGCTTTAGTGAACGAGTGTAACAAACAAGGAGGCCTGAGACTAGCGCAGGCTAGAGCACTCATCAAGATCGATGTGAACAAAACCAGGAAAATCTATGACTTCCTTATCAGAGAAGGGTACATCACGAAAGCCTGAGGACAGACATCAGCGCTCTGGCTAGAGCAGACGTGGAGAAGCTTTGAAGCCGCTTTGACAGCACTGAAAGATTTTAAGTGTTGAATGAAGGACATTTCCTTTTGTTTAAAATCTTTTAGGGCTTTTTTTTTTTTTTGTAAAAACAAGTAGGGAGCTTTGTTAAATTGTATGAATACTGACATTTCTTTGTCTGGTTTCCTTTTGACTCTGCTGTTCAACACTGCTGTTGTCAGAATTACGCTGCCACGTAGCACTGGAAAGAATCATATGTCATATAAGCTAATCTTAAATGTGAATGGGCATTCATTTCTAGCACCTCTTGTAACTAAAAAGAGAATCACGGTACTTTTATTCTGACAGCGACACAGAATAAGGACAGAAGAGCAGCACGTAATGAGAGTCATGCTTTGACTTTGTGTGAGTCCAGGGGTATAGAAATGCAGTGCCCTCCCTGCTTGTACTCCTTCCTAAAACAGTGTCAGCTTTCAAAGGAGATAGCGCACGCCCGCGGGTATAAAAATAGAGCTTGCAGTGGTCCAGTCGTTTTAATTTAATTGTGATAAAGGATGGGAAAGGACATTGCAGGGAAGCTCCTCAACAGTTGTTACTTTTATGTGATATTAGCACATACCACAGCATGAGCGCGCTGTACAAACCAATAAGCTTTAACTGCTCACTACTTGATTTGTGATTGTCAAGTTATATATAATCCCTCAGTTTAAGTCCTCGTTGCAAAGGCTGGATGTTATCACCAGAGCCAGCCTTTTGGAGCATAAATAAAGAGACTCTCAGGACCACGACATTCCCTCACAGAAGATAAGCCAAGAGCACGACACTGCCCGGAGCGCGCACTTCAGCCCCTTCTGCCCTCCTCCTCTGGGCTTTTCTGCTCTCAGCTTCCCCCACCAGCGACGACAAACCCAGCTGACCAACAGAGCAACGATGAGGTGCAACAAGTTACTACACACGCACAACACCCCGTCGCATCCAGTGGTCCATTGTACGACTTCAGCACAAAACTTCGGTATTTGAAAGTGCAACGGGATGATGAAGATGGTTCTTTCCAGGCGCAGCTTGGCGCGCTGTACTAGACAGTAAAGTGCCAAACAGCTTCCATTGCTAACGTGTAACGCTGAAATAACATCCCATAAGTAACCTAAGAGCCAAACCAGGTGGGATGTCGGGTGCTCTCAAGTTTAGGGATCTCATGTGGGAAAGCCTAACTGAGCTATAACTGTACTGGTGCCTATTTAAGGTCTTTAGGTTTGGTTGTGATTTTTTTTTCCCCCCAAGAGTAATTATCCTGTGTACCTGAGGTGCCACTGAATGTTTTGGTTTGTAATAAAATAAAAGTGACTTGAAACAATCTTATCATCTGTGTCCCTGGACTCCAAGTGAGACTGTAAAGGTCGTGCAACTGCCTGTATCTGTATCCATCAGCTCACCGTGAGAGGAGAGAAACGCAACAGTGGCTGCGATCACTAAATTACCTCGTAAATATTACTATTTAAAGAAAAGCAGCAGTAATAAATTATATGTTGAAGATTAAAGCCTGTAGAAATTGAGCCTGAATAGACTGGGAATGCCAAGGGAAGGGACGAACTGTAAATCCTTGGGAATGTTTTTCCCAGTTGTCTTTTAACATTAAACAGCCCAACTACCTTTCCTCTCACCCAGTCTCCAACGCCACAACTTGTACACAAAAGCAGCCTGCGAGCCAGAGCCGTACCTGCTGCGACCATCCTGAGATCGGCGACATCCCCTCCCGGCACTAAGGAACTTTGGTGACGTTCCTTTGCCCCCGAGGGACCCGAACAGGACTGGGAGCGTGACCTGACACAGAACCACCCAAACCCGAGCCGGTGCCGAGCCCTGTGCTTTGGGCAGCGCTAAATGATTTGGCCATCCGGAAGATGTTTGGGAGAAAAGATGCCTGGGAAGGTGAGAGCTGCGATCGTTTAGCCGGCCAGGAGGGAACCAGAAAAGAGACTTTTCCACGGTAAGCAGGGGAGCACAAGGCAGTGAGGAAGAGAGGCTGGGATGTTTCCCTCGAATAGCATCAAAGTGCACAAACAATGGGATTTCCCCTTTCACAGGGCATCCCCCAAGCGGGGAAGGTAACAGGCTTCCAGCGCGCCTGTGCCAGGGTCAGCACCTCTTTGCCGCTCCTGTTACCTTTACTTGCTGGGCTCTAACACGGCGTACGGCTGTGCTGCAGAAGGCGAGCCAGAAGAGTCGCATCAGGAAAAGGCTGTTGGGTTAAAAAGCTCCATCTGTGCCTGCACCAGGCTCGGGGGTGGGATGGGGACCAGGGCCGGCACGCAGGGGGCTGGCCAGCGCCGTGGCCATGCACACCCCACCGAGGCACGACCATCCCACCGCTGCTTACACCCCGCTCTGAGGGCGGGCGAGGCACGCCGGCGGCAGCGTTTCGGGTACAAATCTCAACCGCTGGTGGCACCGGC